TCTGGAGTCTATGTCTGTTATACCCTGGATGGCTAGGATCCCTTAACCCTCTCTCCCCAGTGTGAAGATGTTAATAGAAATTCTTCAGCATTATACTTCAGGAGTGGATATCAGTTTTTTGGGCACTAAAATAGGGTGGTTAAATAGTAACTGGGCAGCTGAAGACAACTAGTGATGATTGGGTTATTCTGGCGGCATCTTCGGGGGTGAGTGCTACAGTTTGGAAGATGACGTTCCCTACTATACTGTATAGAGAGTATGCAGAAAGGCATGAGATATGTGCTTCTGGGGACTTTAAGACATATTTAGTAAAAGCCAGAATATTACAGTTTACAGTCACCTGTATTATGTATAAACCTGCAGAACTGGCTTGCATTGGTTAACAAGTCTCATTACGCAGATGCAGTTCAGAGATCAGTTCAGGTTATGGTTCAGGTTCAGTTATGGTAATCTAGTTGTATGTATCAGAAGTATTGTTATAGAATTAATAAGTGACAATTGTCACAGGCATTAGGTAGGTGAAGCAGCTAACAAGAAAAAACCTCATTATGACTTCTGATTTTTGGTTGGAAAGTTTTGTTTCTGCCACAAACCCTTGTTCGATTATAGCTTGAATAATCCATCAAGCATAGTCAAATGTTTATTTTGGAAATCATTTGTTAGCCATATTAACCAACCAATTTTTGAGGAACAACAAAAATAATAATTTCCTTTTGGGCATGTGCTGTGTTCTTGCTACGATTTGGACATATGAAAACCCCACTGATTGATCGATTTTCTTTCAGTCAGAGAATAATTTCAATCACAATATTTAAAAAAGTGAATAAATAAAATCAATATAAGAGTAGTTAATTTTTAGAGTTTACATTATTACATTATTCATATTTTAATTTACAAGTAGGCAGTATAGCAGAGATTAAAAAAACATACAATTTCTTGTCAGCTGTTAGGGGAGTACAGCCTTTTTTTGCATTCTTCGACAATTCAGTGTGTACTCTGGGCTCGTGTAAACACAAACTATGCCACATGGTTTTAAATGTTGTGACAGAAGTGTGGATATGTTTGACACCTATACCCAGAGACAATTTGTAATATGTTTACCTATATTATATATTTACTAGATATATCATGATACAAAGACCCATAGTTTTCCTGTCCTGCCATTTTAGCTTGTCATTTCAACTGATAAAGCTTTTGTGAAATATCCATTGCAGAGCTCTAATCCTAATGACTGGGGTTTTGTTTAGTTCTCTTCTAGCATAGAAAAGAAAGCAGAAAATAAAAATATGCCTAACAAGATGCAGCGCAATTCACAATTGTTCTCAATAGCTTTAACACCTACTGACTTTTTAATATATGCTTTTTTTTTACATGGCTTTATATTGTTCTCAAATCACCCAATGTACAAAGAAAGCCATTCAAATAATATAGACTTACAAAAAGGTGCAATGTTCTCCGGAATATAAAAGATAGTTGAATTCTAACCCTTTAGGTGTAATACTGAGTTGAGGTCTTATCAGGGATTGTGAGAAGTTAATTAGAGCCTTTTAGCCACCTGTGTTTGAAGCACTGATTCATGTTATTCTTAAAACTGTTAGCATACTGATTTGTTATAGTTGGCCATATTTCAAAATTGAGGCCAAATAGATTACTCACTTTTGACTCCAATTTGTATTCTGTGCTTTATTTAAGACTGCAGATCATACACATCATTTTATCATATTAACAATCATATAATTTATAATAAGGTACTGCTGATGTGCCTATTTATAATTGTCCAGTGGTGCTCATGATTAATTTATGTTTTCAGAGATAAATTACAGATGAATGATCCCAAGAGGCTGGTGTGGTGCCTATTTCATTGCAGAGTAATTAAAACCTTACAGTACTGCTATATATCCTATAATATACTTTTTTATGTTTCTATTGACATAAATTAGTTATACAGCTAAATGTAGAGGTTTCTAGGGCAGAATAGTTTTAAACTATGTTACTACCTATGAAGATAACAGTGTGTGTGTGTGTGTGTGTGTGTGTGTGTGTGTGTGTATATACAGTATATATTATATATACATACACTGCTTTAGGCTGCAGCCAAACTCTCCTGCCGTTTCTTTTGCAGCTTCTCAGCCAAGCCATTTAGGAATAGAACTGCACCAAGTGCCAATGGTTGTCATTACAGTATGCTGTATGTACTGCCAATACTTTTTTTTAGTTCTGGATAGGGAAGGGTCAATGTTAGCAAAGCATGCAATCAGCTAGATAGGTTTAGAGATATCAACCACTATGAGCACAAATATCTGCGTGCACATGTAGTCCTGCAATCCAAGTGTACTCTAATGATTAATCCCTGCTCTTATTTATTTGCTTCAGTAATTCCTTCCTACTGTGTCAATTTAGAGAGATTACATTGGGGGAAAAGTTGCATGCAACATTTGTGCATGGCAGATATCACAAGAACTCTCATCAAAACCAATTAGAGATGTGTCCAAACATTGCTTTGCAGATGAAGAAAGATGTGGAGATAAGCATTTTTATCATTTTTCTCCACAGGGTATATTCCCAAAAAACTTAAAGTAACACTAAACTCAGGAGTTACCGTAAATAAAAAAAAATGCATTCAAATACCTTAATTATGAACAAAAATGTATCTTATTTGTAGATCCCAAATCATCTCTGAATTGGTGCTGACACTGTCCTTCCTTCTGGGGGGTTGCTACTTTTGTTTCCCATGGTCCCTGTGTGTGTTGTAAAGTAACCATCTCTCCAAGCTCACTCCCGTAACACACTACAATCTCATATTTAGTTAGCTAGGGTACTTGAATGCATTTTTAAGATTTAACTCATGAGTTTAGTGTCACTTTAACTATATATGCATTCGCTTTTTGTTTCTGTTATGCTTTTGTGCAGCAATTTAGAATGGTTTGAAATGCAATATTTGAATTGTGGATGTTATAAAGCAGTGTTTATTGATACATTTACCAGTCTTTTGCTTTGCTTAGTGTGTTGATAAAAGAAACATGTCATATTTTGCTGATGCTCATGTGATGTTGACCTGTATAAAAGTCAATCTGAATGCAAAAAAAAGAAACTTAGAGGCAGCTCGAAAGCGCCTCAAAATCAAGCTCTTGAAATAATTTTGGACAGCCATGTTGTACAGTTCTGCCTAATAAACCATGTAATCTGGTAACTAACTTCTTTAGACCAGAGGGCTCAACTGGACTTTAAAATAAAAAGAACCTGGATGTCACTGTGCATTGTATTAACCGGTTTATATTGCTTGACCAACCTTTACTGGTATATGATAGTCAATCTGCATTTCCTAAACGCTAAATAGTTTTTTCCCCTCCGTAACAGATGAATGGAAATTAGATCCCCAATATCAATATGTGACAATTATTAAGACTACATGAATGCATGCAGTGGATGAAACATGCCATAAAGGTGGGAATAAAACAATTATTTCCTCTGTATTAAGGCACCAGCAGTGTGACTAAGAACTTGAGATGAAGGTTACCTGCTGCAGAACAGTATTCATAAAACAATCTTTACTCATGCATTTGTTGTGCCCTTCTGTAGTTTGTAAAGGCTGTGAAAATTAAATGTACATCTCGGAGACACAAAATCTGAGTTGCTCCCAAGAGAAACAAAGTTTAATCTGTCATTCATTTTATGAAACTATGGATTTCTGATTGTGAATATGCACAAGACCAGTTATAATCAACCAACCCCATAGTATTACTAAACATTCTGTAGTTTTTAAGGGCATTAACCCCTTCATGACGGGAGATGTACAGTGTACGTCCCGACACTTTGTGCCTATATGACTGGCCACGTACACTGTACGTGACAAGTTATATCAGACTTTGTAATGCTGGTAACAGCTGATTCTCAGCAGTTACCAGACATTAATGAATGCCTCAGTATTGAGGCATTCATTAATTAAATAATTAAGCTTTTTGTAAAAGCTTCTTCCTTTCAGTAATGAAAGAATGAAGCCGTTACATGCAAATACAGGACCGCAATTTGCGATCCTGTATTTGACAGCTGAAAATAGCAGAGAGGTAGCAGTGACTCACCTCTCTGCTATTTGTTTTGACAGCTCGAGATCCCGATGTTTAGATACATTTCACTCAAAAGATACAATGTATATCTTTTGAGTGAAATGTATCAGTTCTGATCGTCTAGGCACGATCAAAGAGCTTTTAGGGAGATCTGAATCTGACTAAAGTCAGGATCAGTCTCTAAGGTTATTATTAGCTGTTCCTAAGTTTGGAGCAGCCTAATTGCCAAAAATTAAAAAAAGTTAATTTATCAAGCAGCCATAGTGACTGCTTGATATAAACTGACAAGAAAAAAAAGTTTTTTACAAAGTGTAAAAAATATGAATAAAGTGTAAAACAAAATTAGGAAAATAAAAATGATATGTAAATATATTTTTATACTATAATTAATATAAACAAATAATAGTAATCACACCTTGTGAAAAAAGTGTTTTCTTCTAGTTGTTTTCCTCATTTTTTTATTTTATTCAAACTAAGTGAGGGGTTAGGTACACATGTGTGATATAATTATATAGCCCTATCTGTCCTCTAAAAAACAATATAGAATATGTGTGGGTACATTTAGTAAGAAAGTATATTACTGCTGTGAAAGAATCACACAGCAAAAATGTAAAAAGTGTGTCAGTCATTTATGAACAGAAACTGAAAACTAGCTCAGTCATGAAGGGGTTAAGTAGCAAACTTGTACACTAAAAATCCCATAATACAATAAAGTAACATTTTAATATGTCAGCACACTTTGAACTTAATGGGTAAATAACTTTTTACAGTTACTTTGATAAAGCAATAGTATATGCAACTTAAAGAAAAAGTTAAAATAACAGAAAAATTGTCTGTTTGCATTATTTACTAGAAATCACATCATCATCTTTTCGCCTTAAAAGCATGCTGTATTGTACAAATTCAGATGAATATTTGTATCACTTCTGTACTTGCCTGTAACTGTTCTTCTAAGGCAGCTGTAGCTCTATCTCCACTTGCTTCATCCACCACTACCACCATATGAGTGAGAGAATTTACTCTAACTTGCTCTTGCTCCAAGTCATCCTGCAAAACCTATGTAAAAGAAAAGACAAATATATCATCAGGAAAAAAAAAATATAATTTAAATTAAACGTGTATTTAAAGCCAAAACATGTTTTAAAGAACAATTGGATAGAGTAGAGAATCGATGAAACCCTTGTAAGTGATTTGACCTCCTGTCTCAGACACAAAGTGAGGGGAACTCTCTTTTAGACATTTATCACTGTAGGAGGAGTCCCCATTGGGTGATTTTTCCTTACCTCCTGTTCCAATGAAAACTGTAAAATATTGAATTTACCATCACTTTCAACCCCAGTGAAAGTGGTCTCCAGGAAAATAGAGTGTGCATATCTTTAGTGGGGACACAGCAGAGCGGTGGCTGGTAGCAGCACTTCTGTGGAGACTAAGCTGGCAGCTGTTCTGTCCTGTGTATGATGGCTGTTCACGGATGACAAGGGGACTGGAAGCGGTGCTGGAGTGGCGGGAAAAAAGTTCTGTGGCAATGCATTTTCCATAATCCTTTTTTACATTATCCTAAAAACGCTTTGCTGCAGAACTTTTTTTCTGCTGCCCCACCACTCCAGCACCACTTCCAGTCCCCCTTTCATTCCTGACCAGCCATCATACACAAGAATGAACAGCTGCCAGCTTCTCCACACAAGTGCAGTGGATACCAGCCACCTCTCTGCTTTAGCGGCCGGTGGAGGACAGAAGAACGATGCTGCAAGATCCCTCAGGGACCAGACCTCACAATCCCATACAGAGACATGGAGATATTCCACCTTTGGAGCTACACACCGCTTTTTATTTTCATGTGTGATGGACATCCTCTCAAGATCATCAGTGTGAATGCAATCATTTTATGTTCTTAATAAATGTTTTTAGGTTTAAACAAACAGCGTGCTGGTCATTTTTTATACTCTGTTATTGCCAGATGAGCCACTTATCCTGCTGATTGCAACACCCCAAAAAGATACATGCCAGAAGTGCTTTTGTACATAATGTAATACAGTACATCACAAATTTTACAATGTGAGTTCAACATGGTTATTTTAGTTATCTCACCCCCTTTTCATCCATTTACCATGCTAGGTTGTGGTGCTCTGCTGTTTCTTTTTTTATCCCTAATGTGCACCTCACCCTCCTTTCCACATTGCAATGTGCAATAAACTAGTACCTGTTTTGAACTCACTAAAGTGACTGTACCCCCACCTTTTGACACCCACAGAAATGAACCAAGCCTGATAATATACTGTACATGCCATTAATAATTTTAATACTAATATTACCACTAATATTAACACATTCATGAATTAAAATAACACCTTGCAACAACAAAACATTATAAACAGTACACTCATAGTATGAGTTCAGTTTGGTTTTATTATTCTCACGCAGAACTAATGTAATCCACAAACTGCAACATATTACACTTCACACATTTGCATAATTATACTTCATTATATAAGAGTGTATGTCAAAAGTTGGAAAAGAGACATTACTGAACTAAGAAAAACATGACACATCTTACAAAAATAGCTTATGCCATGAAATACGCTCAAAACAACTGTTTCTTAAGTTTTCACTATGAGTAATATATTATTCAAACCTTTAATTAACAGCATGACTGTATTTAGTAATTTAGTAGTTATCTGCTGGTTTTAAACACAATCTTTCCATTTTGTAATAAATGAAAGTGATAGAACTATTCTAGACTGTCTAATTATTTTTTCAAAATACAATCTCCCTCCTCTCTTGCACAATTTATGTAAAAGGTAGAAATGGACAAAAGTATAAAACTCAGAAATTAAAGAGAAAGCCCATTCCTGAAAGATAAAAATGATTTCGAAGCAGTTACAATAGCTACTAATGAACTGAAGAATATTCTTCCTGTACTTAAAATCTTTTGTTCCGTCAGACTCTCTCATGCTCTATGACCGCTTAACCTGAAGAGCACAATTCTGAGGGTGTATGCAGCCTGTGTTTGCTTCCGACACATACTCTAACACTATGCAAATAAGTCTCTATAAAAGGAGATAGGGTTTCTGGATAGGTTTTCACACAGCAGGCTATTAACTGAACTCATCACCCACTGGGGATTAAAGTATCACACAACTCTTAATTAAATAAAACACTACTATGAAAATAATATTATATTAGTTAAAGCAGAACAAAACATTTATTTATTTTAATCCTTGTAAAATCTCTTGGGCAAAATTGTGAGTGCATGCATGCATACATGCAAAACATTAGGCATGTACAGCTGCAAAAAAATAGTTTTGTTTCGGATTTCGTTTATGTCATATTTCTGAAATCGGGTCCTGTATGTGTTTCGTTTTGGGTTTCAAATTGGATTCGTATTTGCAATACGGACGAATTTCTGAAATTTGGGGTTTTTGCGCGAACGGACAAATGTTTGTACTCACGTACGTAGCAGAATTGGCACAGTTGACATTTCTGGTTGCTGTGCTCTAGTCTTCACTATTAAAGGGACATTAAAATCCTTTTCTTAATTTTTTTTATCCGTTTAAACGTTGACGGTGCATGCACAGGAACATTAAGTAATGTTTTGTTTTTATCTTCACATGCTATGAAATCCTCTTTTTGAAGTCATTATTGTAAATTTCTAATTTAGTTTCTGTTAGAACGAGATTCGTACTGAATCTGAAATTCCAAATCCAAAATTTTGGATTCGGAATTTCGGATTCGGATGCTTTCGGATGAATTCGGACATGGTACATTTCGGAAATTCGGATGCTCCGAATCCACGAATTTCCAAAATTTCGTCCGAATTTTGATTCGGAAGAAAACGAATCGCACATGTCTACAAAACATTCTTCCCTATGGCGGTATTAAAAACCTGCCATCTTGCAGAAACTTCCTCTATTGATGATGCTCTCAGCTGATGAATAAGGATGAACTTTGGATTTGGATTAACCAGGAGTTTGACCCAAACCCAGCGGGTTTGCAGTTCAGAGAGCAGGTAAACAAATTGCCCATATTTGGTCAGTTGAGCAGCCTGAGCCTCCTGCTAATCATAGGCTACACAGCCTATTGCATTAGTGTGTGCACACAAAAGTAGACACACACATACTGAGGCATCCCGATTTCCCATTTCTTCAACTGTCCCTTACCTCTTCCTGCAGGGGTGCAGCAATGAAGCAGGGTGCCTGGCTTGCTGATTGGATGGGAACCCACAGCCACCGGCAAAGTGACTAAAAACTTGGTGCCTGCTGTTGCTGTTTTCGGCAGGGCTGGTGCAAGGATTTTTCCCTACAAAAAACATTGGTGCAACATTGCCCCCTATGCCCTTAGGCAGCTGCCTATGCAGCCTTAAGCTAGCACCGGCCCTGTCCCCCTCCCCATATATCCCTGTCATACAGCATCTCCCCTCCCCATACATTCCTGTTATAGAGTGTCCCCCCTCCCTATTCATTTTTGTTACACAGCATCACTCCATCCCCATAGGTTCCAGTCACACAGTGTCCCCCCTCCCCATACCGTCCTGTCATACAGTGCCCCCCTCCCCATACATTCCTGTCACACAGTGTCCCCCCTGCCCATACAGTCCATTCTTGTCACACAGCATCCCCGCTCCCCATACATTCTTGTCACACAGCCTTCTCTGCTCCCCATACATTCCTGTCACACAGAGTCCCCTCAACCAACCAGTATACAATATGATGGTACCTGCACCTTTTTTCAGCCTTGTTTGTCTGTGCAGACACATTTTGTGAAAGATTAAAGACTGATGTCTTGTAACAAGGCCACAATTTATCATAAAACATTAGAAACATTAAAAACAATTGTGTGGTACATGAAGAGCTATCGCACCACTGGAGCTGTTGCTTGAATCTAAGGCCCAGGATATAATGGATCCATTTATTTTAAAGGACAGTGTAATCTAAATGTTTACTACAACTACTACATTGCTTCCACACTGTTAATGTCATTATTCTGACTGCTGTCAGAAGGGCTAACATGACTCAAAGTATCTGTGAGCCCTTATTCTCACCTGGGGAGTAAAGTTCTGCCAGCTTGTGGGCCCTGGCATGCTGGGGGCCCAACCTCAGGCTGCTCACTGCTCAGGGGGTGCTGGGGGCTCACTGTCAGCTCTTCCATGAGCTGTCCTCATCATCTTACCAACAAGCCAATTGGGGACGCCAATGTCCCCTGCTGGCAACCCAATTGGGGGAGGGTCAAAAGAGTGTGAATAGATGGGGAAAGGCTGGTCAATCCTTGCTCTCTCATTCAAGATAGGCATGTGGTATGCACCCAATAGAGGTGTAGGGGAGGGGATGAGCTCAGTGGGCAGCTGCCCAAGGAGAGAGAGGAGACCACGTCCTGTCTGTCAGTTTGGAGACACTAGCGCCAGTGTTTTATCAGATTTGATAGAACACCGGCACTGGGTTTAGGTGTTACGGTCGGGGTAATTAGAGTGTGCCCAAGCACACCCCGTGCGCATGCTTATGCTGCTAATCTTTGTGTGTCTGTCATTTAACATCCATGATCAAATATAGTCAGGGTCATATTTGGTTTTTGACATCACCCAGGATCCCTGCAGGCTTGTTTACCTATAGAAACTGCCAAGGATTTGTCATTTGAGACCATAGTAGTGGCAGATGAAGATTGTTGTGTGTGTGTAGTGGGTTGTTGTGGCTGTGGGTCAGCAATGTTGGGCTCAGCTCAACATGAGTGACATAAATCTACATTTCTAGATGACACAATTGACTTGGGATTTCATTGTGGGACATTGTTTACTTTTTCAGTGTTGTGGTATTTATTTACTTTTTTCTTTGTGGATGTGAATGGGCAATAAGGGGTAATATGCACCTATTCATGTGGGAGAAACTGAGAGGGGCCCCTTAGTCTAAAATGATTTTCATTTTTGAATAAGGTCAGGTGCAAGACTTCGCCCAAGCAGGGCTTAGTACTCATTTGAAACCATGATTGGGCAAAGTCATGATGACTCTGTCCAATCATGTCTCGCCTATCAGATGATGTAAAACTATACAATTGACAGCTAGCTCCACCCAATTGTCTATGTTTTGCCGACATGTGTCAAAATGCGATTATGTGGCGGGAGTCGCCGGGCAGAGGACGGGACGGCGGCCGGCATTTTTTAAAAATTATTATTTCTATTTATTTTTATTGTTTTATGTTTTATTTTGTCATCGTCTTGGACAACGCTGGACACCGTGATGGACCCTGGATTATGTCGGTGGATCAATTTTTTAAAAATAAAAGACTTGTCAAAAACATGTATTTTGTTTTTTTCCAAATAAAGGATTTTATCAAAAGGCTGGACTTTTTAATAACTATTTTATTTAACCCTTTAGTGAATGAATAGGGATACAAGTGCCCCTTATTCATTCACAAGAGAGGGGGGGTGGCATCTGGGTGCCCCCTTAATTAAAGGGGTACCCAGATGCAAATAAGCCCCATGCCCGCAGACCCCCACAACCACCGGGTCAGGGTTGTGGGGACAAGGCCCTTATCCCCATCGGCACGGGGACAAGGTGCTGAGGACATGTGGCCTGGTGTGGGAGGAAGGGGGGGCACTTGCTCGCCCTCCCCCTTTCCGGCCCTGCCAGGCCTATGCTCGGATCAAGGGTCTGGTATGGAATTTTAGTGGGGACCCCACATTTTTTCCTCCCATTTTGGTGGTGGGGTTCCTCCTTAAAATTCCTACCAGACCTTGAGGGTCTGGTAGGACTTTAAGGGGGAACCCCACACACATTTTTTTGTTTTTTTTGTACATGAGGTCCCTCCTAAATATTCCTACCAGACATCTGGTATTGTTTGGGAAGGGGAACTGCACACTTTAAGTCAGTTTTGCTGCAGCATGTTCTATACATCCTAGAGATCCACCAATTCACAGGCAGTTTATGGGGATCCCCCAGGCACTATATTTGAAGGCATTTTTCATTTTTATTCTTACCCTTTAAGTGATGTTAAAGTCACTGCTCCTTTTTTCATTGATTTCTGTCCCCCAGGGCAGTACCCAGACCCCCATACACCTTTTATGGCCAATAACTTGCATATAAGCCCTCTTAAAGGGGACTATAATTTATTGAAAGTTCAACCCCCACTGACTTGCATTAAGTTCGAGTTCATATTCAAGCTTTTCGGCCGTTCGGGTGTTCGAATACGAACCAAACACGGAGGTGTTTGGCACATCACTAATATATATGTATATATATATATACATATACATACACACACACACACCTAGATACAAATATCATAACAAGATTCTTAAACTCATGTAAATATAAGAATCGTAAAAAGATTCATTAAAAAGGAGTAGAACATGCAGTTGTAATCAATAAAAATGATAATAAAAGAAAAGAGAGATGCATGCATACACATTTGTTTCTAAATATGTATGACATTTAATTAAAAAATAAAAATTTAGCTCTGCTTTAATACAGTGCATGTCATTATAGTCTCTATAGTCTCAGTATACGAGTTATATATAATGTCACAAGCCTTTGTTTACAATTTTGTCCACAGCTCATACATCTCACACACTTTAATGCCTGAACTATAAGACTAGTAAACCTACAGATGGGTGACAATTCGAATAAACATAAATTAAGGTGACCATTTCTGTTTAATACAGTTGCACACCTGATCACTCCCTAGTATCTTTGGCTACCTTCCGTTCCAGGCATTGTTAGCTTTGTTAGAAATGTTATCTAAATGTACAGTATATAATGATTTTATGTGTAATAGCCAACATTAAAGTGTTTTCTATTATTCTTAAATACTTATTGTCACCTATATTATAATTTATAAAAAGGTAAAATGTCATATTAGTATTGTGCTAAGGATAGACATAAGCTGTAAAATCAGAAGTGTTCATTATCATAATAATAATCTTTTTATTTCCATAGCTTGTATCATGCAATATGCAGTTTCTGCTGCATCAAGGAAAGCTTCAAATCTAACCACCATTGCACTGCCCAGTGAGAGAGACCTTTCTGACCTTTGAAGCATTCTGATTGGACAGGAGAAAATCAGTTGGTGGAGCTTAGCTATTAAGTCAGGGTAAGTCAGGACCCAGTAACTAAAATAAGAGAAGCACAAAATTAGCTTGTTAGGCTAAATATAGCTGTATTTACTCCTATGCAGTGCTCTAAAAAGTTTAAATCAGAAGTAGAGGTTTACTTAAACAGTAGATGACATTTTGTCAGTTCAATAGTTATCAATGTATAAGCATAATATATCCACCCAATGAAACACATTTCCAGCGACTGAAGTCTTTCTTCCAGTTGTATACTATTTGTTTAAAAAAAAAAAACCACTGCCAGTTTCACTAGACATAATTCAATTAACAATATGTCTGCTTAACCATTGAACTTAAAGTATATTTAAAACCAAAACATGTTTCCAGTTTTGGATAGAATGTGGTAGGGTTTGGATCCCTGTCAGGTTTTCATTGCTGTCTATATCCCCAGGGGGGAGATTTACTCTCTCTGTTTGTCCTCACAACCTTTATCAAGGGCTCAGCAAGTGATGGGAAACCCAAAATTTTACAGATGTCATTTGCATGAGGAAGAAAGGGAAAATCCACATAGAGACACTTGTTCCATTGGGTACAAAGAGGGGGTTTTCTATCACACCAAGGCAGCAAATAAATAAATGACCAATTAACCAATACATACTCTATCCAAAACTACAAATAGGCATTTAAGATTTCCTCTGAAATATGTAAGATTAAGGGGCTCCAAAATAATATTTTTTAATGTTTAAGAATAGATCAAAAAGTGCCATGAAACAAAACCTTTTAATGTAAAAATAAATTGAGTGTGGCTAAAAAGAAAACTGCTGAAATATGCAATATGGTGGGAAAATGGGCCTGGCTCTGTGAAACTGGAGGCTAGAAAAATAATCACAAAACTGGAAAATGATAGATAGTAACATGAATACTTTACACATTTAAATGACCTAAGATGACTTTGGTGCATCATAAACTTAATAAAACAAAAAGCCATACTATTTTCAGAAAAAAATAAATCATAAAGCTGCATTAAAAAAATATCAAACCTCAGCAGTATTTCTGAAGGGTATCATTTAGTTAGAATAGTGGTAATGGACCAATTTTTTTCATTATGCATAAACAAATCAAGGTCAACTTTATTATAGCCAAAGTGTCTTTGTTTTCTTTACACTTTAATGCAGTTTCAAAGATATAGCAATGCACTAGGAAAACTGAGGAGATGGGTCAGCTGATCTAAATCTGATTCGTTAGTTTAATTAGTCAATAATGTATGTAAGGTTACCAGCCATTCCACCTAGAGCTAATGCTATTCTGTCAACTAATGCAGTATTCATATAGTCCTTACATAAAATAATACTGCGGCTACTGTTAAAAAAAAAAAAAAAGCAACTGCAGTGCAAATATCAAGGACAAATCGATGCAGAAAGACACAAATTGCTTGATAAATATATAAATAACAGCATTAAAACAAAAATAGTTGTGTTACCATATAGCAAACTGACTACAGCTCGCGGTATACTGAGCTTAGGGTAACGCTAGGACGCTAGTTTGTGTCCTCCCGTTACCCTAAGGAGAACTATGGGGAAAAACACTGACCCCATAGTTCTCCTTTAAGAGCCCAAGCGGTGTCAAGAACAGAAAAGCCAAAAGCAACCAGCAGTTATTTTGTTCATTCTAAAGTTGGCAAGAGGTGACATCTGATTAGAGGGTTATTATATTATGATCAATAACACTGGTCTTTGTGCTCATATGCATATTCTCTAATTTTTATTATGTAAACTGGTTTTATTATACAATTACTACTATTATAGGGTCCAGTTGTTTTCTGAAGCAAAACTGAAAGACACTTAAAAAATCCAATATATAGTAGTTTACTAATTTTATGTTTTCAATAGCAGGCTGATATTAAAGTCAGTCCACCCAAAAATGTTTAATTAGTTATAGGTTAAGCTTGGTGGGCTAAATCAACCCTCTGGCTTCCTATATGTCTCAGATGCTCCCACATAGAGATCTCCTTGACAATTTTTGGAGTTTTTGTGTGTTCCTGCCTACAATTGCATATTCCAGCTTCTTCAGGTGGATTCTCCACCAAATGAAATGTATTAAAAATCCAACAGAGAAAACAGGGCTCCTTCATAATAACCACAGCAGCTATACAGGAACAGAAGCACAGAGATTTTACCAATAAAGTCTCTTTAATATATTAGAAACTGTAACATGATTTAACTTCACTATTTATGAAACATTATTCTGAACAAGCATAAAGGGTTAGTGCAGAAGAAGACAAACCTTATGTTCTTCTATTTGACGCTTTATATCTTCTAAGTCAGGACCCAAAATTTCCAATTCCATTTTCCTAATACGATTCTCTGTTTGTAAAAGCCAGTCGCTTAACTGTTGCAGCTGCTGATTTTGCAGGTCCATCAAAGTTTTATGTAAACTAAGATTAGAAAATACAATTGTATGTTAAAGTAGTATTATATTAAACTTTTTTCAATAATGAATCCAGATCAAACAAATATACATTGCCCAGCAAAGCATACACTTACAATCATCATGTTTCTGAATAGCTGCTTCCAAGTCTCCCAGCTCAGCTTCCCTGAACTTCCTGTCCTGTACTAGATCATAAAGGACAGTGCAGACTCCAGCAACTGTTCATCTACTAGCTTGGGGAAGGGAGGAGAGGGGGCCAGGGGGAGAGGAGTAGCTTGATTTACTGTTTGTGGAGACACACACAGCTTACTAGCACACACCAGGGTGGCTCCATAGAGATCTGCTTAACACCTTAAAACAGAAAGTCAGGACCAGTGCTCAGGGGACCAGCTGATTCTTCAGGAAACTAAAACTTTTAAAACATCAAGGAGCAGCATTCATTGTAAGTGATTTCATCGGCATTTGAAATAGCTTAAAATCCTTTTGCATTAGAAATGAGGACACTGAGGGATATTCCACTACCAGAGCAGAAGGGTGAGTACTGACTGCTGTAGGACCGAGGATCAGGTGAGTATATTTTCTTTATGCCAGCCCACAGAGAAAAACAAGCACTTGCAGTGCAGGAGTTAATTTTAGGATTCTTGATTGTGTGGATAATAGGAAAACAGTTTAAAGTAGAACTATGGGCAGAAGCAAACATGACAGAGAATATGCTGCAGTCTGTCACAAACATATACAGTCCAGTGAGAACACCAAACAAGACAGAGTGAGAGCCCAACCATGTTAAATAATGGAATGGGTTAATAAACTGGCCATGCCTTATATAGCTATAAAAAAAGTACATGAATATTGATTGAACACCGATCAGCAAATCGTCAGCTTTAAACAGATTTTCAAGGCAAAATAAAGAGTATTTGCAGAGAGTGCAAGCTTTGAGTTATTATTGTAGTGTTGCCATGAAGTACTGTAATTTTGGATGTGAAGTTCACACTTTAAATGCTTGATTTTTTTCATTTTTGTTATTACACTATATATATAGAAGTATAATAGCACACTATACATAGAAACAAAGTTAACACAAAGCGTCAAGTCAAATCAAGAATATCTCTTTTACAAGTAACATATATACACACTGTAAAATTACTTTAAAAAGGTAGGGATGCACTGTTTCCATTTTTTTGGTTTTTTTCTGTATTTACTGATAGCAAATACTGATACTAGAAGTCCCATTAAGGCCAATCAGGAAGCCGGACACTGTGTAACGAATCGCCGCCCACGTTCCCGATTAGCCGGGAAGCCGTCTTTATGCTCCGTAGTCACCAGATGATGAGGAAGCATGGAGATGGCTTTCTGGCCAATCAGGAAGCAGGTGGGCCGGTAATCACTCGCTTCCCGACTTCCTGATAGGCCAGCTTCCCGACCAATCAGGAAGCTGGGCAGCGAGTCATTACACGCCACTCGGCTTCATTCTCCCTCGTCACCAAATGATGAGGGAGCATGGAGCCAGCTTCCTGGCCAATCAAGAAGCTGGGTGGTGAGTCATTACATGCCGCTTGGCTTTCTGATTGGCCAGGAAGCCGGTTCCATGGTCCCTGGTGGCGAGTGAGCATGGAGCCAGCTTCTCAGCCAATGAGAATGGTGGGCAGCGTGTGATGACCCGCTGCCCGGCTTCTTGATACTGGAAGTTCGGGAATCGGCATCTGGAGCATTTGGGTGAGTACCAGTTAAAACAAGTTATTGTTTAAAAAATATATATTTATATCTGATACATTTGCTGTTTAAATGTTTCTCATTTGTGTGTGTCTGAATACCAATGTATCAATATACCAATGTAATCAAATAAATATTCTAGTGTTTATAACTGTGCTGCCATCTGCTATAACCCAGCCCTAGGCTGTAACAGTGCACAGGCTTCTTCCACCTACTGTCTCAGCCAGTGGCTGGTAGAAATTGATTGAATTATTTAGATGCTGTCTGATTTAAAAAAAAGTATTATTAATGAAAATGTAGAAATTAGTTGACTTGACCAATTTGCTAATGTATCATAACGGTGTGGGTCTTATTCATTAAAATTAGAGATGCACCAAAATTGAATTTTTAGTCCGAAACCGAAAATAAAAATGACATTTTTTCCCTAATCTTTAAAAAAAAAATGTAAATAATGTTTTTAACTTTACTGTCAGGGGCTTCGGGGAAATATCAATGGTCTAAACAGACCCCTGATATTTCCCTTTTAAAATAGAAAAAGAGATTGAGGACACAGAGTCCTCAATCTCTTATTCTGCAGCATCTATTATGAATGAACAGGAAGCCTCTACGCTGAGTTCTCCTGTCCATTCATAAACTGTGGATATAGTATGAGTTACTATGTCCACAGTCATTATTGAACAGGAAGTGATGTTGTTCCTGTACATTCATAATTGCTAACATAGTAAGAATACTATGCCCACAGTTATATACAAACACTCAGTGATTAGCGGACCACTGAGTGTTTGTACTCAGCTCTCCATCCTGACTCACTATCACAGGAGACTGAGTGGGGCAATGCAGTAGGAGAGCTCAGCATATTAAAAGCTGACTCCTACCCTATACTGCTCAGCATCCTGACTCTCTGCCTGTCACAGGAGACGAGCAGGGGGGGATGCGGGAGGGGTGCGGCTCCTGTGACAGCAGTCTCCACCCCGCACCCCCGAACTGAGCCATATCCTCCCCACTTGGCCTTTGAAAACCTTCTTTCCTTCCTGATGGAACCAGTTTCTGCCCCCTCGGATCCCCGCTGCCTCTGTGGACACGGGCAGTGGAGAGCAGCAGAAATTGGACAGGACACAGACCAGCGGGGAGTCAAGAAGTTTGGTATGCACTGAATTTCTGCAGCATTTTCACCCATTATGGTACTTTCTGTATTTTGCCCAAAGTACCAGTTTCATCCAAAAACATGAATACTGATTGACCACTGTGATAAACATCTTCAGTTTTGTGCTCTTTTTTTTGTTTCTTCATTTTAATGAGTCAGCCCCAAAGTATGTATGTATGTATTTCTATTTGTGTATCTAACTGGTTATAAATGATATGCTGAGAGTATAAGTACAACTCAAACAGTTATGCATTTCCTTTATTCCTTAACCAGTTGCTGTCCGCCCGTTGTAAAAAAACGACGGACGGCACTGCAGCATTGGCGGGTTGCCGTCTCCAGACGGCATTTTTTATCTGCTCGTGGGCGCGCGCGAGCAGAAAAGACCCGTCCAATGCAAACACCTGTTACTGGGTGTTTCACATATAGACGATCGGCGGCTCTATAGCCTGCCGATCGTCTATATGTGCTAGTTTTTTCGCCGTCTACTGCCGCCGGTTTTCTGCCCCCCCCTCCTGACCCCTCACCTTCAATCCTGGGATCCGCTGCCCCAACTGTGGCCCGGGATCGGGTCGGGAGGGCATCAGGAGGAAGAGGAAGGGAGTTCAGCTCCTTGCTGACCTCCCTCTGGGCTGTGGATGCAGAAGTGATGTGTATTACATCACTTCCGCATTCACCTGTCAGTCATCTGGCTGCTATAGCCAGAGAGATGAAGCTGATGAAGCAGATCTCTGCTTCATCAGCTTCTTTTGGGATCCACAGGTGACATTAGGGGTCCTAGAGACCCCTAATGTCTCCATAAAGAGGACCTGTCAGTGTGCCTTTGCTATTATATAGGGGGATTGTTATCCCCTATATAATAGCAATAACAATAAGTGAAAAAAATAATATATACATAAAAAAAATAAAAGTCACATATTAAAAAAGTTTAAAAAAAACTCCAAAATGTTTAACTCCCCCACCCCCATGTTTACGCACATATAAACGTAAATACGCGTCCGGTGCACAAGCGCGCAAAAACGACAATTGCGCTACACGCGTTACTTATAGCTGCGAACGTCGCAGTGAGAGCAGTCATTTTAGAGCCATCAATCACTGATAACACTAAACTGATGAGCGGTAAATGCTTTTAAAGCGTCGCCTATGGCCAATTTTGGGCATTATCGTTATTCGAGGTTTCGCACGCGCACGCAATTTTAAGGCTTGATATGTTTGGTGTCTTATTACCCGATGTGACCCCGTCTTTTATATTTTACCAAAAAATTGGGTAATAATAAATGTTTTATCATTTAATATAGGGGAAACTGTTTTTTTTATCATTTCGGTAATTTTTCCTTAATATAGTAAAAAAATAAAACCCCCAGTGGTGAATAAATACCACCAAAAGAAAGCTCTATCTGTCCCCAAAAAAGGGTATAAAATTCATTTCAGTACAGCGCTGCATGACGGAATAAATGTCAGTTAAAGTACCGCACTGTGCCTTCAGTGCAGTGGAGCCAGACACCAAATGTATTACATGTACTGGCAGCTATGGGAGATGAAATAGGGGGCACAAAAATGTGTAGCATGCAAACGACGGCCATTCTTATCAAATAAGATGTTCTCCCACCTACAACTACAGTTTGATAGATTCAGCCATTATCAGAAGTTATGGGAAAAAGTTTTTTTTTGCTGCATTACCTTGGAGTGGAAAACAGTGCTCCCTCTTGGACTGTGGCATAGGTTCCCATATGGTGACTGTTGGCCCATGGCCAGGTACATGCCACTATAGTGCAACACAGGCTATAGACTGTCAGAAGGGAACTGACATCCCCAGCTGGAATGGGAGCAGCGGTTTTGCCAAGCTGGCATTAAGATACTGGGCATGGGGGATGATTAACCAGTTGACATCCGCGGTGTTAAACCCCCTTCCCATCCAGGCCATTTTTCAGTATTCAGCGCTGCGGTACTTTAACTGACATTTATTCCGTCATGCAGCGCTGTACTGAAATGAATTTTATACCCTTTTTTGGGGACAGATAGAGCTTTCTTTTGGTGGTATTTATTCACCACTGGGGGTTTTATTTTTTTACTATATTAAGGAAAAATTACCGAAATTTAAAAAAAAAAACAGTTTCCCCTATATTAAATGATAAAACATTTATTATTACCCAATT